GCAAGGGCCTCCAGGAAACTATTTGTGAAGAGATCATGGTAGAACACAAATACGCATTTTTAAATGGGAATTTTCATTTCCTAAGTTCCTAACCCACCTAGGACACAAGAGTTGTACATTTGCTTGATTATTCAAATTTTCATTTTCAACTTTTTGGTCTTTAGCTGTACACAAAGGTTGTGTCAAAATAATAAACGCACTGAAAACTATTCAATATTAAACTGCATAACAAAGCTAATGAGAATCACTTCTTCTTCTAGTTTATTGGTGGTAGCAAAAATCAACATAAACTGATCAAACACAGTGTCAAAGAAGCACAATGAAAATGCATTCACCCAGTGATGGTGGCATTGTACTTTAGTATGAAAGGAAAAGTGATAAAGTGGTAATATCAACAAATGTTTCAGCCTCTAATTCTAGGAATTTATTCCAAGATTACTAGAAAAGTTTGCCAAGATTTGTATACAAAAATATAATTCATGGTGGTATTAATAATACCAAATGTTTACAAATAACCTGAATATTCATAAAACAATACTATTTAATTAGTCCTGCTGGACACTACAGTCCCGCTAGTCCACTTAAAAGGATGACATGAACCAAGAAGTTAAAATGTTGAGTTTCCTCCAGCTTGCTCCCTGAAAAGTTATCCATCCATTAAAATGTCAATTCAAACAATTCATTTGCAAATACTACATAGCAAGACACACAGATGACTGTGACAAAATTGCTGTTGCATAGTGGCTTTTTCTGGGTGTTGAGATTTCAGGGTGATTTTTTCCCCCTTTTTTGTTGCTTATGTTATTTGACTTTTTATAATGAACTTATCTTTATAAATAGAAAACCACCTGCTTTCACAGATAAAAAATTAAAATGAATATATGGAAATGACAGAGTTAAGATCAGAAATAATGTCTGATTTTCAGCAAAGAAATGTGGATTGAGTTTAAAACTTAACTGCCAGACTTGTGAAAAGGACGATTTCTCATTCTAGAGAAGGCAGAAAGACCTGGTGGTTAAAAGCCTAAGTTTCAGGGCCAGTCCTTGGGTTCAAATGTTGGCTCTGAGCAACTTAGAACAAACTGCTTAACCTTCTGCATGATGATTTCCCCATTTATAAAGTGAAAGATTGATAGCACTTGACTCTAAGAGTACCATGAGGATTACTGAAGAGAGTAAGCAAAAACAACACACCAAACAAACACCACCACCACCACAAAAAAACACCCATCACAATGCCTGAGGCTTATCAACACTGCTAGACATTAGTGCTGATGAAAATCAGCTCCAGACAATTGTAGTCTGTGAGAACTAACATTTAACAGTTAAAGGGGGCAGTTAAGGACTAGGCAAGGAAATCCATGACCATCTCTAACTCTCCATTGTGTACTCTGCAAACTGGGGATCCCAAACAGGGTCATTTTGAAGGTGAAATGTCAAATGTTAACACAGTATTTAACAATATCAAGCTTTCAATGTACATTTGCTATTATTAAAAATAATTACTACTATTGACCATGACATCAACTAATGATTTCACTGTCACAACAGGTCTCCAGGCAGATCAATCAATTAATCACTTGAGCAGGAACATGCAGAAAGGACTTCCTCATGGAATAAGGGGAAGGACTACTAGATCCTAGGAAAAGTTTCTGAAGCAGAGACCTTATTTCCAAGGAGGGGTTGCTTGGAAAAGATGTACAGAGAGGCGATAAGCGGTGCACCAGCCATCACTTCCTTGGGGAGGTATCAAGTGATGTAGTTCTCAGAGGCCAGCTCTGCTTTCTAGACAGGCAAGGCAAGTAGGAGGTCACCCTTCCAAATCTGCTCATTTTCTGTTCCAAGAGTGGCTCTGCTGAAAGCTGTGGACCCTGCCTCCCTCCACAAATTAATAACCAGGAAGCCTGGATGCAGGTGATTATGACAATAAGAGCAATTGTAGGAAACACACCGACTGCTCACTGCCTATTGGGCACTGGGATCTTGGCTGAGAGTATATATTGTCTCACTGACTTCTCATCAGATCTGTGAATCTGAGCTCTGAATGTCATCTCTACCTTACAAATTAAAACCATTGATCGCCCTTCGGCCAGTAAGGAATAGGACGAGAAATACTTAGCTACAGAGGCTAAGCAAAACTTGATTAGCATCTGAGATCCATCCAAGTCTCCTTCAGGACCACACAGTCCCCTACTCCTGCTGGATTGGTTCTCAGAGCCTTGCAAGGCAGTCGAGAACAAGGAAAAAGTCAAAGTTGACCCGGACATTAGCGGACTGAGAGACGGGGGTGGGTATTCACCGCAGTGGTGCTAAGTAAGCACTTGGGAAGCCTCATCCTGACTCTGCTTCTGATTTTAGCTTACTGTTAATGTGCACCCTGTGAGAAAAGTAGATAAAGCCTCAATCAGTTGGGTCCACCCATGTAGGGCACTCAGATTGAGTTCAGTGTTCTTTAGCACAGTCCCAACTGTTGCAGTCACTTGAAGGAGTGAGACAGAAGATGAAGGTTGTTACCAAGTTTCCTTTTTCGTGGGGAGGAAGCAGGCACAGGACCCTTACTTAAAGAAGCCCGGGTTTGGGTTTGTATTGTATGGCTGGATGCTGCAGACAGAATATTCTCTCTTATAGATGCCTAAGGACTATGATGACATTCTTACTTTCTTTTCTAAGTCCCTCTTTGACCCAGGCAATCCTGGAACTTAACATCATGCTGGGGTGACTTGCAGTAGATGCCTTGGTAGACTTTGCCATGGCAAGAGCAAAGGAGTCACCTTCCATCTCTCGGAGATCTTTAAATCTGCACTCAAATCAAGAATACCGCCTGCGCATGTATCAGGCCCGTCTCAAGGGAACATGGTTGAGAACATGAACATGGGACGTACAGACACCTGGGTTCAAATTTCAGCTTCTAAACGGAGTTCTAAGGGTATCTCTGAGTTCCAGTCTCTTGATCAGTCTAAGGAAAGCAGTGGGAAAGAGAATGTGATCTCATAAATTAATTGTAACAATCAAAGGAGACAACATAATTTCAGAAAGGCAGTAGGGTATTAGGGGTTAAGATCACAGAATTTTCGGCCAAATTGGTTAAGGTCAGGTTTTGCCTCTATTACCAGGTCTGTATCCTTAGGTGAGTTACTCAGCCTTTCTGGACCTCAGCTTCACCAACTGTAAAATGGGGACAACAATGATAGCCTCACTGGTGGAGTGTTCAGATGAACGACTCAGTGACAGCAGGAAAGTGCTGGCACCAGCACCTGTCGTATTAGTGAGTTCTTGGCAACTGTGAGTTGCTATGATTAATGCATGTAAAGCCCTCAGCTTGATAAAAATAAGAGTTCAATAAATGGCAGCTGTTATTGTTACAAGGTACATGTTCCTCAGAGAAGCCCATGCACATTTATCTTTTGAAAAGCAATCGAAAAATGAAAACATTAGGGGAGACTCTTGTCCTTAAAGAACACCGCAGTCATTAGAGAGAATCCACTGGTCCTGGTGCCCTGGCAGGACATTCTAAGCCCTCTAGCCCTCCCTTTCCTAGGCTCTTCTTGGCTGCTCCCAAGATCTGCTCTTGGTCCAGCCATCCAGTTTCTGGACAAAGGCTCACTGAGCACCTGCAGGAAGTTGGAACAAGGACTGGGAGGATCCAAGCAGCAAAAGAGATAGCTGCAGCCCCTTAGCTTCTGTAATTTCCTAAATGAGAGAGGAGAGCTCATTAAATAGAACAGAGACAATTGTATAATGACAGCTGCAATTCGTGCTGTGATGGGTGTGATGGGAATGCACAGTGGGAGGGAGACCTGATACGGTCTAGCATCAGGGATGTCTACAAAAACAAAAGTCATTCTAAAGTCTTCCCAAAGAAGTGACATTTAATCCGTGACTTCACAAATGAAGAGAAGTTGGGTGGATGTTGCCTGGGAGAGAAGGGGGAAAAGTTTCAGGTCTTGTTTCAAGTTCCTGCACCCACAAGATACCTGGCTTTCCAGAAAATACAGTGCTTCTGAGTTATTCCTATGCCTTTCACTCAGTACTGCTCAGAGAGGAAGTGGGAGTCTGGAGACAAAAATGGGTTCACCAGAATCACGTCCTCAGGGGTGACTGTTGTCTCTTTTCCTTTCAGGCACCACTTGCCTACCTGTAAGGGCCGCCTGGTCACAGGCCATATGAGTGCTGATGCTCTGGGCTCAGCGCTACCCAACCTGCTCACTTGGCCCACATGTGAACTTCAACCAAGACACCACATGGGACTCTGCCCTTTCAATGTCCTCTGATGCCTCCTTCCTGTCCTGGTCACACCCCACTGGGCTTGTCAGGCTCTTTAGTAAGCTAGAGTTCCCTCACTGAAGGAAAGGAAAATAGCATGCAAGAAAACAATGGCCCCCCAAAAGGAATCTCTGGTTGACACAGAAGGTGAGGTTCCCTTACATCATCAAAGAAGCAACTGCTCGGGTTATTTACTTCTCCATCAACGTTCCTGGTATGGCAAGATGTGTTTAACTTTCTTGTAGGTTTATGCTGGCAATTGATGCTGTGGGAAGGGAAGCCGTACGCTCTTAGTCGTAGCAGATCTCTTTCAGAATTCACACGTTGGGAGTCAGGCATTATCCCCTAAATGGTACTTTTGTTGTCTTTTTGTTCAACACAGCAAGTTTTTTCCAGAATCAGAACTGCCTGCCGGCCTCCCATGATCAACAGCCTACCAGCTCTCTGGGTAGATCAGATGTTTAATAGCTAGCCTAACTTATTGTTTATCTAAGTAGCAATTATGACTGTGATGAAATAATATTTTAACTGCAGGGGAAGCATTACGGATTGCTCCCAAGTAGACTCTTCAGGCTGGGAATGGCCGGCAGGGTTTCCTACTTTAAGACAGGAGGACCATTCCGTCCCAACTGGCAATTCTCCATGTCTGAGATGCCATCATTAAATGCTGCTCCAAAGACCTAAGGGAGATGTGCCAAGGACAAGTACGTGGTCCCATCCCCTTCCATTGAGGCTCAATGGCCCAGCAAAATATGAAAGTGAGACCTGTGCTTCTAAAACGTAACAGTCTAGAGTCAGTGGAGTTTGTGAAACAACCTCATCACCGTCGGAGCAAATCCCAGCAGGTGAGATTCAAGGAAGATGGGGCCATTAAGAATCCAACTGGCCTAACTGAAGTTGAAGTCCAAACTCCTGAGGACCCAGTTGTGATGGGGAAGACACAGCCCACTAGGCACCATCACCCGCCCACCTACTCGCTCTCCTTCCCCAGATCCCAGAAGGTTGGGGGCTTACGGAACATTGCGATCCAGACCTCTCCTAGTCTCAGGAAGCATTTCCCAGTTTTCAAAAGGAAGAAGCTCACAGCCAGCAAGTCCCTGGTGGAAATGCCAACAGCATCCCAAAGTGCCATCCAGGTCAACGGCAACCTCTCTGAACAGGACATTGTGTCTTCTGACCTTGCCTACCTAAGGTTGGCTCAGCATCTTGAGGATGGGCCTCGAAGAGCCAAGGTGTCCCACCCCTTTCTCCCTAGAGTGTCCAAAGTGCAAAGCAATGGGCCTGTTACCATCTGCTTGGAAGGAGGAACTTGGAGGGCTTCAGAGAAAGCAACAGCTGCTATTCAGGTCCCAGATGATATCTATCATAGTCCTTCCTTCAGCCCAGACAGGTCAGCTGGAATGAGTAATGCTGTACCCCCTTTGGTTGACACATGTCCAGGTGATGGAAAAAGGATGCTGCCATCAAATTCTGAAAGATCCCCTTCCTGCATAAATGCCACCAGCTGTGCCAACCACATACCAGGCACAGGAAAATTTCAACCTGAATTGCTTTTACCCAAAGACAGCTCTGATGACAAAGACCTTGGCCCACTGTCGTATCAGTCAAAGGAAACGTGTGTTCCCTCACCTCCACGGACTCACATCTCTCCTTTGCCAGGCTTCCACGGCCAACCAGCCCATCCAGCAAGAGCCTCCGACTGTCCTTCACCCAGCGACAGTCACCAGGACCTAGTGTCACTCAAAATTAGTAGTGCATCTAAATCTGCACCTTTGTGTCAGGAGCAGATGGCAAAGGACCCCACCCAGTCTGACACCCCAGTGTTTGAAAACTGTCCAGGAAGTGATCCCCCGCCATCCTCTGTTCCGAGGAATGAAGCCAAACTTCAGAGCAGCAGGGAGATTAGTGACATTAATCAAATTCACCTAGCAAGGGGTGAACTCTGCGACCTCCAAGGTCGTCTGCAATCCGTGGAGGAATCTCTGCACTCCAACCAAGAGAAAATTAAAGTCCTTTTGAATGTAATCCAAGACTTGGAGAAAGCTCGAGCTCTCACAGAAGGGTAAGGTGAATTTCTCTCTATTAAAAGCAATTGAGTGGATTCTTTTGCTAGGAGAGGGGCAGAGAAAGAGCACTGGTTTCCTTTAGAAACATGCCTCTAAGTGTGTGTGATCCTGTTGTTTCACTGTGTCATAACAGATAACCTGCTTCTGCTATGATTGGGTTTCATTTCATTCTAGGCTTTAGTGGATTTGGCAGAGGGAGGGGCTTCCACTGTCACTAGTTCTTCTTTCCAGGTCTCCACAGCCTCGGGAAAGGGAGCTGAGGCAGCAGGGTTGAAAATGAGTTTTAAATACACAAGGGTCTTGTTGATTAAGGAATGGGGAAAATGGTAGTAGGCAGATGCTTCTCCCACTTCATGCTCTTAGTGAGTTCTGCATTTGCCCAGGATGTCATTGCTATGTGCATTCATCACAGAATATTGGAGGTGGCACCTGGGCTTGCTGTGGGCCTCCTCTACTGACTGCTTGGAGTTGGTGGGCCAGTTGGATCATCACTGAACCAAGTAATAGCAATTGAGCTGAAATCACGATGATGCAAAGGGGAGAGAAAACACCAGACGCTTTCCTGGGTCACTCAGTATCAGTCTGGAGAGGAGAATGCCGTGAGTTGTTTGGGTGAGGAATGTTCACTCTTCCAGAAAGTGTTCTTTAAAAACTGAGAAGACGCAAGGACTAACACTAATCAGAAAGGCTAGAAGAGAGGTCATTAACTGGCATTTGCTCTTCAGAATGGTAACTGCTTTATGAGACGGAAGCACTGTGGAGATAGTCAAGAGTTTTGATCAATTCCCTTCTACTCATTTGCAAACTCCTTCATCTCATAGCATTGTAGTCAGCGTGAGCAAACCACCAAGTTTAAGTGTTTAAATATATATAGAGAGAGTCCTTTAGAAATGTGAAATCCTGTTGTCATGACTTTTGCAAGCTTTGCTTGTGGTGGGCAGGCAATGTCAGGGCACCATGAATACTGTGGATATGGTCAAGATGGTAGAGTGCATGTGTACCTTGTGGCTTTTGCCCATGGATTTATACAGCTCTGTCTTCCAGGCGCAACTTTTACCGAACGGGCCAAGATCTCAACAACTGCAGTACCTGCCAGAACACGGCATGCATCATATACAGGTACTTGGACACAGCCGAGACTTGTTCTGCACAGCACAGAAGCAGAGGGTCCACAGAATACTCTAGTCAAGTCTCTTAAACACAGACAGTCAAGACTGAAACAAAAACAGGAGGCATTTGGACACTTGAGTCTTAAGACAAGGTGTTAATGAAATGTTAACATCTAGTTCCAAGGCATGAATCACTGCTTCACCACAAGGTCATGAGCAGATCCTTTTGATGTATGTATTCCTACACTTACTGAACACTAAACTCCATGGGTAAAGTCCCACATGCTGTTTTGCAACATATTTCACAATTAAACCTTGTCGGGTGTGTCTTTTGATCTGAAAGAAAGTTAATTCATTTGGACTATCATTAGCAGAGAATATTCTTAGAGGAGAAAGGGCCAGAATCAGAACTCACTTTCTAACCCCTAAGCCTCTGATCTTCATTTTACCATTCCACTACTTCTCCCTCAACAGTCACTCTCCCACACTAAGCACCCACCACATCTTATGACACAGGCTAAACATTTTGTGTTCATTCTAAGCAAACCATTTACTCTGTGCAAGGGGTGAGGCTGCTGCCAAAAAGATAATGTACATTTTGATAAACGTTATCATATAGTGGTAAGCCTGAAATCAAGAGATTCACAGTTTTCAGCCTAGCTTTGTTTTCGTTTTTGAAGTGGAGAGCCATCAGCTGGTTTACTCCTCAAAGCTAGGAATGGGATCTCAATCCAGATTTCCTATGTGCATGGCGGAAAACTATTTGAGGCATTGACCAAAGCACTCTGATGTGGAAAACAGTTGCCTTAATTATTAGGCTAAACACTTGCTCCTTAAAGATCTGTGTTCTAATCCCCAAGTCTCACAACAGCTAACATAACATGGGCTCAATATCTTTATCCATAGAGTGGGAACAATGATCCCTATTCAGCGTTACCTTAAGGACCAAACGAGCTAGCTCTGGTGAATGCCTTTTATAACTATGAATCTCTGCACAAATTCAAGAGCTCATTACTGTTATTACTGGAAAGATCAATGCCCCCTTAGCTGGAAGCCCATTTTCGTTGGCACGATGGAAAAGTGGTCAAGAGCAGTCATTTCAGCTGATGACATCTAATTTTGCTTGACAAAAGTGTACAGTTTTGCTTTCTCTATTGCTTTTCTCTCTTTGATAAGAAAGGCGGCTCAGAGCCTGAGCAAAGCACAACCCAAATGGGTTGCCTATGTCTTCTTTTGAGAATTTCTGATGCTTTCCTGTAGAATCCTGAAATTTCACCCTAATAAGGGACCAGGTACTTGCAAGTTAGAAGGCGCTTCTGCCTAGGCAAGGTCACAGGCATTTTCTCTTTGAAGCTGTCAATTCCTCACAATGGAAGAGCCACAAGACCAAACGTTTTTACCAAAAATTCAGGGCTGTTGACAGAAAATGCTTTTTACCTCAAAGTGAAGTCACCCTCACCCTCCCAGAAAAGGGGATCTTGGCCAATGCTTGCTGCATTGGAAAACAGTAGATAGTCTCATCAATTCTTGTCTTTTTGCTTCTCCACTTAGGCTTGTGATCCTAAGTGAATTTAATAATCACTAGAACAAAAATGACTAAATGTCTACACAGCTAGGGAGAACAAAAAGCTACTCATCATAAACAATAAGAATTATTTTTTAACTAAGTTATATTAGATTTTGGATAGACTATTCTCTAGCTTCTCTCACTCAAATGATGTTCAAATTTGGCTTATGAAAATAAAAAGGGCAGGTGGTAATTTGCCAGTCTACCATGAGTTTCCTGACCTTGCTGGAACAAGTCATTTCTGGCCTCTGGGTTTCCTCATCTGAACACCGAGATCTTTCCAACGGTCCACCAGTCCACCATAGTCCTGACATTCAGGGAGTCTAAACTAACTAAATAAAAAGTGACAATACGTGGCTAAACTATAACCTTCCAAAAAGTCTGAAAATGTTGCATTTTCTTAGAACTTACCTCAAAACACCCCAGGTCTTTGTTCTAAATGGAGATACACCTTGCACAGTTTAGCCCACTGTCATGCACTTTCCTGAAGAGCATGCACTGTCTGCCTGCCTCCCTCATTGCCATTCAACACCAGACAGTTTGCCCAGACAGCAATGATATCCTTGTATCCAAACCACAGAGAAAGAAAGGGCAATTAATTTGATGAAAGCAAAGAGATCAGAACAACATTCCTGTCATAGGAACAGGGGGAAGATGAGAGTTGTCATTAAAAAAAAAAAATCAAATGACATCGAACTTGTGCTGTGTCCTGGAAAGTCAGATCTTCTAGACTAATGAATAAGTGATGTGGAATACTTATCTGCGGGCCTTGTTAAGCTTCAGTCTCCCCCTGCAGTGATGGATGGGCCCAGTGCACGCCACTGTACATAAAGCACATAGGCACCTGACGGCTTGCCCAGTGGGTCTCCCCCTCTGGAGAGGCTGTTGCCAAGTTAGTAACATTTTCTAAACGGTGTTTCCCATAGGCCCTGTCAGCCTGGGGCTACAGCTCTGCCACTTGTTCTAATCAAGACATGTGGGACCAAGAGCAAGGCCCAGTCATTCCATGCCTGCCTCTGGGGTTTCCAGGGGATTCCACAGACCAGTGACAAAGGTCTCTTTTGAGGCTTTATTCTGTTCTCTCTCTCTTCTTTTTCTTTCTTTTTTTTTTTTTTCGGTCTGCTTTAAGGCTGCAAGGGAATGCAGGGGTGGGGTGTACAGATTTGGGGTGTACCTCAAGGTGCTAACAGGCTGCTAGGTATCCATTCACTTTCCTCCCTTATTCCTAGCATGAATTCTGGGAAGATCCTGTGGGTTGAGTAGCTGCTGCCAGTGACACTCAGATTAAATAACACTGAAAGACTTAGTAAGAAAGTTGTTCTCTTTTCAAATGTATTTCAATCCTTTTGATTACCTGGAGGGAGAAATCCAGGTAGCCTGCTGGAATGTCTTTAATACCTTTCTAATGCCTGCTTATCACATTTCACTGCAAAGACAGAGGAGGGCTCAGGTTCACAGCCCTTGGCAAGCTAACAGTAGCTAGCTGGAATGGGATGATTTTTAATTTTTTATGGGTTATGGGAGGTTTCAACTTTTAAAACTAATCCTCTTAAATATTTATGGAAGAGGATGCAGGTCTCTATGACAAAAAGTATGATCGCCTACTTTGTATACTTTCTGTTACAAAGCTTAAAAGGTGAACTGATTTAGAAGGAAAAAAAAAAGTATCAAGTAAATAACTGTGTAGATGGGACTGGGACGGGGAACCTGGCAAGACCTCCAGAAGCAGTGAACAAGTGACAGAGGCTTGGAAAACTGTGAGCTACAGAACTGCCTTCTTCCCTCAAGGGCGTGAAGTCTCCCCAGCTCCATCCCTCCTCCTCCTCTCAGCCTGTTCTCTGTTCCTCCAGTCCTATCTCCCTGCACTTGATCTTCACATTCACTCTAAAAATAGTCAGCAGAGCCTTTCTGGAAGACTTTGACTAACACGGATCATGTGTCTCTTTTCGGGTTGTAGCTCCCAGGAAATAGCAGCTGGATTTCAGTTATAAAATGATCCAATGTTTTAAGGAGAAGTGAATGAGAGTCTGTCGCAGAAGGATTGTGCATCTCCCATCCAGTATGTGTTGCTTTGGGAATCAGAAATGCAAGTGAGACACAATCCGCTCACCACTGTCGAGTGGAGAGGGAGAGGTTGGCTATGTAAAAGCTGGAAGGTGCTAGGGAGGAGAGACACAGAAGAGTGATTCATTGTCTGAGTTGCACCCAGACCAGTGATTCCCCTTCTCATCCTTAGCTTCTCTCTATTGCTTCAGCTAAACTTGCAGACATTTTTCCAGTAGCACCCACTTCCTCCTAGCACATCCATAAGATATACTCACATTTATAGAATTTTCAACTAATTAACACCTTTCCACTTAATACACTATGGTCCAAAAGACACTTGTCATCCGCCCGCCCCCCCCCCCAATACACACAAAACTAACTCTCTTCCTTTATTTCTTATTTTGTTCAATGACACGGATCATGAGATAACTCAGCTAAGAAGCCACTGGCTCCATGGACTTATTCTCCTGAATAACTTTGAACAACACACATCATAATGCTACTGATTCCACCTGTTAAATCCAGTTCTTTCATTCCAACTTCTCATCCTTGGTGTCTCAAATGTTGACTAATTAGTCTTTTTCATCTTGCCCCCTTCTGCCCTATCTCAAGTAATCCTCCACGCCATTGGCTAACTACTTGCAGAGAAGGCTCTGGCCATGTCATTCCCCTACTAAACAAGTCTGTCATGGTTCTTGGCGTTCCCTTCAGTATCTCATGACCCTTTTCACCTGCTGATTCCCTGCTCTTCTCCAGATACACAGCCCTATTCAGCTGATAGCTGTGTCAAGTCTCAGTCCTGTACAGAAGTTACTTCTCTTTCTGTCATGCTTTCTCTGCTCTTCTTTATCTTGATATTTTCAAGTCATGAAAGCCAGGTCCTGAACAGCCTTCTACACTTCACCAAAAAAGACTCTTATGTGTTCACATCCCTCTACCACTGATCCTGCTGCATCATAGTGCAGCAAAGTCATGGGCCAGTACCTAGTATGTGCTCAAGAGATTCTTACCAAAGAAAAGAACAGCTACATTGACCAGAGAAGAAAAGCAAAGTGGCAGTGACATCAGAGAATTATTTCAGCTATTTCTAAAGTCAAGTCATTGGGACTCCTGTGTGTACTCCTACCTTGGGTGAGTGTTTGCAGAAACTTAATTATGACTGAGTGAAGTACACGTAGTTTCAATTTTCAAATACATCTAGGAGGATGTAACCTATCAGTTCATCCTTTGATGACTCAGAGAACATCCTGAGCTTTCACAGGACATTGAGACTCTTGTTCCTAATGGCCACCCAATATCACTGTCCAGTACTTCTGCACAGGCTGTAGTGAGAAAAGTCTAGCCATACTAACATATCTCTTCTTTACGGTATTTGAAATGTCTTCATAATAATCCTG